TCTGACGCCGCTGCAGGCAGCCGCTGCCTCTGACACGTCGCGTTGGTGCTGCCTTACACACTGGCAATTACTGGTGACACCTGACTTCGACTGGGTTAAATATTTTCCCACTCCGGGCCGTGTGTTTGCACAGGAAGGATCAGCAAGTCACGTCTGCTGCCGTTCCCTCTGCACCAGCTGCCCGATGTCCTTGGTACCTGGCCGTCAGTTCTTAATGTACATCAACATGCGCTGATATACAGCCAGCCTGATCTTTGACTCACCTTTGGAACAGCAACACATTTTCTCAACAACAAATTATACTTTGACATTAGAAGGTGGCAATCTGTAATGGATATTGCAATCTGAAGATTGAAAGAGACTATCTGTGATCTTTGTCCTCAGCCGAGCAAGCTGGAGTCTCTCTTCCCTCCTACACATTATTTGATTGTGGGACATAACCTTGGGATGTACTAATAATCATTAGTCAGAGCTGATGTATCCGTAACGGGCCTGCCCTGCTCAGGGAGGGAGATGTTCTTTAGAACAGTAGTAAATCAGCAAAACATGCGCTTAAATATACAGTAAAATGTGGTTTGAGACACGGTCCTTCATACATCATGTAACAAAATGTTTTATTGAGAGAGTCACACACGGTCTAGTGAGGAAAGAGGGCTGCCAAGACAAAACCTGTGAAGGGGAAACAGTTCAGTGGCAGGAAGGGGCTGGGAGGGATCTCTGAGCAGCTCCTGGTCCAGGGGAAGTATTGACTCCCCAAGTCTTTCTCTACTCCCCAAGTCCTTCTCTGCCCTTTCATAGCCTCAGACAAGCTGGCAGGAGAGAGAAGGGAAGGCACAGGCAGGAAAGGAGCCCTGTAGAGCTGTCCAGACACAATGAGCCTTAAAGGCCTGGCAGACACAGTGAAAGGGTCAGCTTGCCAGGAGGAGTGAGAGATCCGTTCTGCTGTTCATCAGCTTTGCAGGTCAGGCTGCTACTTTTCATTTGGTGTTGCTGCTAAGCAGCTGTCTTTTAGGAGCTGAATGTTGCAGGAACTGTTAGAGCATCTCCTTTTCTTTTTTTAAACAGGCATTTGTCATTATTATTTAAATCTGAGTGAATAAATAACACATGCATCTGCTAAATGTTTTACTCTCTGGGTTCCTGACCTTGCTGCTTTGCCTTCCTTGGTTTTGTGGTGCTGAGTAGTTGCAGAAATTGTGCCAAAAGGGCTGGCCAAGCCAGCCAGCCAGATTCTGAAATGCCTGGAGCTGCATCCACACTGATCTGGGAGAGCCTGAGCTCACACATCCCTGCTGACTGTGATTGCTGGGCCCACAGGGCCCTGGGGCTTCACCTATGAGTCCTGTCACCCTTCTTGCAGCTGGCCAAATCAGTGCATGTCTGGCTTTTTTTGCTTACTAGTGACAATTCAACCAATGCAAGAAATGTCTGTGATATCCAAGCTTTGGATCCGCTGTCTTGTTTAGTGCAACCTCTTCACATTATATTTTGTTAATTATATATTTTTTTTCTTGAGTAAGGATAGCTCAAGCATTGCAATAGCCATAGACATTTTTATCGCCAAAACTGTGTTTGATGCCTGTTTGGCTGGTGGAGAGATAAGCTCAGGATAGGTGTGCATTAGCTGCTTTCAGTACTTCTGACCCCAGACCGTGTCACTTCACTGAGGGATGACAGCCTGGCGTGGGCTGAGCTGCCCTGGAGGAACTGCAATCCCCAGTTCCAGCAGAATGTCTGTGACCAGCCCAGTCATGCACCTAGAGAGGGAAATAACGAAACTCTTTCACTTCTCTCTCCAGTAAATATTAGAATGGTTTGTGCCTTTGTTTTTCTAATTCTGACATTTTTTCCTCAGAAATCTGTTACAAGTGTGAGCACAGAATAATTTCCATATAAGGCATGTCAGTTAAGAATGGGGATATTTGAATGGGTTTCCTTTTAATGACTTAACCAGTGCTTGTGTTTTTAATAGCTTTTAGAAGAGATAATACCTCCATTCCTCCTGTCATGGCAACTACAACAAACAGAACATCATTCAGAAGTCAAAAAAAAGGTACAGGCACTTTAGTCTCAGCCAAGAGAGCCACAAAGTAGAAAAACTCATTACTAATTCAGAGGAGCTGAATCCCTCAGAGCTCACCATTACTGGTCTTGCAGTTATTAATACTGGAGCACATCAATTTAGCAGAAGGCAGAGTTTGGCAGAAGGCAGAATGGTGTTGAAGTGTCATTCTCCCAATCAAACACTTCTATGAGGCCTTCCCTTGCTCTAGTCAGCCTAGAAAGAAGCAATGCTGGGTTGTGAGGAAAGAGCTGAGGAGAGGAAGGTTCTGGTTTTATAGCCAGAGCAGTCTGGTAATATTAATCCTAGAGAAACAGTGAAAGAGGCCATAGGTATTTGTAATTTATTCATAAACAGCTATGCCATCATAAGAAACTTTTTAAAATAATATGTGATAGTTCTTTAAATATTTAAGCATTTGTTGACCTATTTTCTCAGTTAATTAGGATTTTTTTTTTTTTTTGGCTGCATTAGCAATGACTTGAGTGCAGTCTGTTTTAGTGACTACACAGTTCAGCTACACTGGGTTACAGAAACATGATTTCTTTCTAAGCCACATGACATGGGAGAGGAATGCCATTTTAAGTGTCTAGATGTGTGCTTAAAAACCTGGAGATTTACTAGTAGGTAGGGCATAAGTTCAATTAGTGAATATAAAACCATTCACCTGGCATCCTTCTGAGTCCTAAACCAAACTTTGTATTTTCAATTACAGAACTACCCTTGTTTTTTTCTGCAGCAAAGGGTGCAGCTGCCCTTCTCTTCAAAGTGCAGTGGTTACGAGCATCAAGCTCATCTCTGCAAGCTGCATTTGTGAGTACACTTCTTTTCTTCCTCATTTCTTTTGCCCAGGACTCACTGGGCCTAGAAGTGAAGTTGATAAAAATTTGTCCATGTGTGCAGCACACATCACAGTGCAGCAGTATGGTCAGAAACCAGCTCTTTCTGAATGCTAATGGAAGGCACTGTTAGCAAAAGCTGCACTCTGTGCATTGTGCTGGAGCTGAAGCAGGAGAACTCATGTCCCACCTGTCTGCTCTGAAGTCAGTGGTGAGGTAAGGGAGGATGTGAGAGCAGGGCTTTGACTGACTACCCAGCATGGAGATGGGCAACTAGTTGGAGATGGCCACAGAGCCCTCCTGACAGAGGGGAAGTTGTCACCAGGAAGGCTGGATGAACCATCGGAGTCCTGTCATTATCTGCTTGGTTCAGGAGGATTGCTGTGGGCTCTGATTTAGGCTGCAGCACCAAATGTAAGTTTGTCCCCCACTACATGGCTTGGGAATGATGAGCTCTAAGCTGATCCACTCTAGAAAAGGACACCAGAGGGGTCAATTCCTGCTCTCTGAAAGGCTCTAATATGTACATCTCAAGAGGATCATTATCAGGTCTATTCCTGGCTCTTTTAAAGCTGCAGTAAAATAAAACTTTACCCTTGCTGTTGTCACCTCTCCTTCTTAGGATGTGCCCAGGATCATGTTGTTTCCCAAGGGTTGCTTTAGGGGTCTCCTGCAGAAAACCACAGGGTCAGAGAGAAGTTTGCACAAACAAGGATGCTGTTAACTTCCCATGCAGCCTTTGCAGGGCATTTCCAAAGTGACCTGGGAAGAGTACTTCTCAGTCTGTGTTTCTGCACAGTGTCACTGAGCTGACTCAAAGTAAAAGACTAAATAAATGTTGGCTGTCAGGCTTCAACACGCTTCTTCATCAGGTGCAAATGGACAGGAAAGATTTTCTTCCATTTGCACCTGATGAGAAGGCATGTTTCTCCCCCAAAAGCTGGTGTCTGCCATCCTGTGTTTCACTCCATGGATCAATTCAGCATTCTTGGGATCAATGTTCTCCACTAATGAGTTATTGCTTTTTATTTTCAAATTGAAACTTGAAGTTTTGTGGCAAATATTTGTCATCCGAGGGATACCAAGTACACAGAGTCAAGCCTGTAAGCTCTTAAATGAGAAAGGTTGGGTTTGTAGTTCCTAGAAAGAAATATAATACTAGAAACTTTTTTTTCTGAGATTAAACAGGAGTCAATACCACAATGCAGAGGAAGAATTTCTATTTTTGCCTACACCCTTAAGGCAACAGAAGAAGAGTATGTCATTGCCACAGTGACAGCTAATGAGCAGATATACAATATTAATTGCAGTAAGTGTAACACACTGAGCAATCTATCAGCTTCAATCTTCTCAGCAGCTGTAGTTTAGATACATTGCTAACACCTCTGTCTGAACTGGCTGCTTTGGGTTTGTTTGCCTGTATGGCAGCACAAGGAGGGACTAAACCACCGCAGTCCTCTTCGCGCTGCGCGAGGGGCTGACCCAGTTGCACTCGGCCGGCACCAGCACGAAGCTGTTGTCCCGGACCTTTCGGAAGCGCATCACCTTCCCGTTTCCCGTGATGGTGAGGATGTCGGGCTCAGGCTTGCTGAAGGACACCTCGGCCCGCTTGTGGCAGTGCTGGGCACAGACGCAGCGCGTGGCAGCTGCCAGCAGCAGCCCCAGCGCGGCCGTGCAGACCAGGAGGATGCCAAGTTGGGCTGCAAGGAGTCGGGTTCCTCTGCCAGGGCCTTCCCCTATCCCAGGAACAGCAGATTCGGGAGCTGGTCTGGTCACCCATGGCAGGGTATTCCCAGCTGCCTCCTGCTCATCCTTGTCCTCCTCACCCCTGGTGCCTGCTTCCTCTGGCTGTGGTGCCAACTCTCTTCCTGCCATTTGCCTTGATGCCGAGGACAAATTGCCAGCAGCGCTGGCATCACCAAGCCAGGCTGTGGTTGCAGCGATGTCGCCCAGGTGAGTGCGTACGTGCAGGGCAGAGGGAGATGCTGTCACACGTAAGGAGGCTTTCAAGATGGTCCCACTCTCAGTACTGCCCTTTGGAAGCAAAATCATGCCAAAATGTGCAGTGAGGGAAGCAAAAAGAGTTTTGAGTTCTTTCTACCTACCTCATGGAATACTTCAACTCTATTTCTAATGCCCTTGTATCCCTCTGGCTTTATATTAACTCTTCTCTATTCCCTGTTTACTCGGCAGATTTTAGAAAATGAAGCAGATGCAACCCTGCTTGATCCACACCAGAATTGCCGTGGAGGAACAAGACACCCCTGCTGGTCCCAGGAGAAAGGTAGTGTGGGTTGGAGGGGCAAAGGTGAAGGAGAGGAAGGTCACTTATAAGTCTAACTAAATGTCTGCAGTTTCTGTTGTGGTGGTGGTATTTTTCACAGGCATCATTATCACAAAATGATATCACTTAAACAATTCCCACCTTGAATGGCATCAGGGTCATGCTGAAAGGGCAGGTGTGATTTTCCCAGCCAAGCTGTGTGTGTAGGCTGTGTGTGGGATTCAGTATTGCCCTTCTGAGGCTATGGAGTGGACAGACACGGAAGACTTGGGATGGCCTTTGCCATCAGCAGTTTTGGGGCATTCAAATATAACCCATAAACTCTTCCCAAAGCCTGTCTTGCTTTCTCAGTTTACACAGCCAGTCTGAAATCTTCTGCCCCTCCACCCATTTTTGTGGGAATGTAGGTTCCTGCCTGGGCCTGTTTCTGGGCACTGTCTGGTTCCATGTACCTTATTTTAACTGTCACAAAATGCCAGCTGCTCCACACCAGTTCTGCAGCCCAGGCTTTGCTGCAGGTATCATCCAAGACTAACTGGGGAACAAGCATGTGATTTAGGAGGCCCACAATGAATTTTTCCATTCCCACTATGCACCTGAGCCCCCATCCAAAATCTGCAAAGTGTACTGGAGTTTTTAATTTGGCTCCACTGAGATTTGGATCTGGCTCTCAGTAGCTGGCACCTCTCCAGCCTGTCCAGCCCAGCAGGCTTTTTCACACATCCATTAATTACACCAGAGAAACTCTCACCCTCTACCATCATTAGTGATTTCTAATGCTTCCTGGGAAGACAGTGTGACAGGAGCACAAAGCTGAGGTAGGAGCCCTGGCAAGCTGTGAAGCAAAGTAGTGGAGGGTCAGAGCATCCTTTGTGGAAGGGATGGTTTCTGAAGGTGCTATTAAAATACAGTAGTAAATAGAAGACTTTCAGTGGCTGAACTGCAAACTGTAAAGTGAGAGGCTGGCAAAGTTAGAATTGCATGTGTATGGATCACTTGCCCTCAAAATGCAAACTCTGTACTGTAAGGATATGCTGCAGGACTTGGGACTTTGGGATAGAAAATGGAACTGCTCGCAAGTCCTTGCCCTGTCTCAACTAATTTCTCCTTTCTTTTCATACTCTTCCCCATTCTTGCCTAATTTCTCAGTGTTTTTGTTTTATTATGCTTTTCTGATCTTGCGTTGTACAATAACTCTTCCTTCCCTTTGGTTTCCATCTACTGCCAGTTCTCCACTTCTCTCCATGGCTTCGCCAGGTGCTCATGGTTCACATCTCTCCTTTACTTGTTCTCTGTCCTCTGCTCCTTCCTAAATATTTCTGGCTCATTCTGTTCTGTATGTCCCCTTTCTCTTTTATTTTTGGTGAGATTATTTCTCTTTCTCCTTTGGCATTTTGGAAACCAGGTCTAGCTCTTTCTTCTCCTTGTATTTTTCTTCTCTCCATCACCTGCATAGTGGACTTACCCCATTAACTTTGTGTCCTGTATCTCTAAGCACATATATTTCCAAGCAGCCTGTAGTCACATCTACATAAGGGAAAGCAATTGTTTTTACAGTGGGCCTCTTAAAAACCCAGGCAGTGGGCTCAAAAAAAAAAAAAAAAAATAAACAAGCTAGATAGACCAGGAAATTGCAGTTACATTATTCCAAGAACTTAAGTCTTGTAGTTGTATTATATAAAAATCAGCAAACAAACTAGTTGCAGTTCATCCANCAAGCTAGAAAGATATATAAACCCCAATTTCCAGTTAAGGAAAAAAAAATTAAAACTTTCAACAGTCTCAATGTAGTTTTACTCACTTATGACACCTACATGGGCTGCTGGAGCATCCTTCTGCCCCTGGTTCTTACCTTCCTGTTGCCTGTACACATCAAACACAAGTGTAGGGTGGCAGCACTGGCAATGCTTCCTGCACTGAAATATGGACAGAGGAAAGGCAGAGTTAGCAAGTGACACCTGTGGCTCACACTACCAAGAAGTGCTGCTCCTTAGAGCAGTTTTGGGAGGCATGCAGTCAATGTGGATCATACAACCTGTATTTTGAATTATGCCTGATCATTGATTCCTATCCCCATCATTTTCGCCCACAATATGAAATGTTGCATGAAAGCTCATGCAGCTCAAATCTTCTAAAACTTCTGAGCAGACATCCCCAAGCTCAAATTTCATAATTTCTTTGCATCCTTTATTTTCTCCTTTTCCCTGCAGATGGAGAAATAGGTCTGCTGAGTTCACTGTTTCACTGAATATTTGTATGCACTTTCAGAAAAATGTTACAACAGTCGATAGTTTTTATCACATCTTTCCCCCGCCTGGCCAGTCCCCCACTGTGCTGAGCAACACATTGTTGGCTTCTTAGGTGTTTTGGATTTTCTCCCTGTCGCTGTCTGTCATGTGCAATATCCAAATGATTATTTCTCAAAATCTCAGCAAACAAACACCCTCTCACCTCCCCCAGACACCTTCCTACACTTAGGCGCCTTCCTACATTTTCCTTGTTCATCTGCAGGGAAACTATTACTATTTTCCTTCCCTACAAAAACTGGAGAAACAGCTTTTCCTACCACCTAGATTTACCCATTGAAGGTGCTGTTGCTGGAGTCATTGTCCTGGGAGAGGGAACCTTGCAAGGCATCCACCATTCCAACGTCTTGGGTGGGAAAGGACAGCTCCAGCCCCTGGCCTCTGGACCGGATACTCCTGCTGGACACAGCCCGCAAAGTCCGGGCTGGCTGTTTTGGCTCAGCAAAGGGACGAGTCTCCGACCCCACACCAAAATCTGGCTCTGGTGCTGGTGTTGCCATGATGCCAGTGGGGCTGGCAGGCAGCAGGGAGCCAGTGGCAGCTGCAGGAGAGAGGGGACCTTGGCCAGCAGGGAAAAAAAATAAAAATCAGGGAGAGAGGAGCAGAAGTCTATTGTCTTCGGTTTGTTTATTTCAAATCCCACTCAGGTTTGCCAAGAAGGTTTGTTACAGTGACTCTTTTATTTTCATGTCACTTATTTTTAAGAGGGCACCCACATGGAAACTAAAGCAGCAAAGCTCGCTGCCTATGTAATAGTCAAGTAAAATAATTAAAACTCAGCCTTGGTGCCATGCCAAAAATGCTGAGAAATAAATCTGATTTAGGTATAAGTAAATTCTTGGAGCATCTTACTGACCAGAGGCTGCATAAATACAACTAAATATATACCTGGAGGACAATAATCACATTTAGAGACAAATATGTTCCTCTATTTAGGCAACATTGCTAATTGCACTTCCTTCTCTTCAAGAGCTGAGGTTTTAGGTAAAGTATTTCAAGATTTGCATTGAAATCATAATGCAATGGCCTTACGGCATTATGGCACTGGCAACCCCATTTAACTTTCTGGTGCCCTCCTTGTATCTGGCTCCTCAAATACTGGCCCACACCTCAAATACTGACCCATACCTTCACTTCAAGGAGCTCACCATGGCCATCCCTGATCTCGGCAGACACAGGAGTTAAATGGGTCTGCCCAGCTTGTTTGGGCCACTTGTGTTGGAGACTTGGTAGAATAAGCTGTAAAATTACTCTGCAGGAGGTGTTGGTAAGAAACAGCAAGGTTTGCTCACCATACCTGTGGGGTGAGGGTCAGCTGCTCTCTGCAGGGGCGTGGGGGCTACAGCATCGGGCTTCTTGTCAGCAAGAGTCTTGTTTTGCCCTCCCTGAGCCACAACAGCAGATTCAATCTTTGCCCAGTAAACAAAGTATGACTGGACTATGGAGATGCTGTTAAAACATAATCAGGCAAGAATTTACTGGCTCTATAGCATTAGTAAAACATCTGACTGTTCGTGTAATCACAAAGACTGCTTTAATCTGAACAGAGAACCAATGCAAAAGTATTTTAAAGGATTAGTCTGTTGTACATTTTCTATTACAAATAAAAGATACCAAGTCCTATAAGAAAGATGTGGGGTAAAGAATCACCACTCAATAAATAATTAAGTTCAGCCAAAAAATGTGTGGGAACTTAAGCAAAAAAAAATATTTTAAAAAGCTGTATTACATTCATCATGTTGATAGAAATACATTTGTAAAGCTTGGACTAGCTCTGCTTACAATCTTCTGTAGGCAGGGAAACAACAGTGGTATTTATTAATTAAAACAAGCCAATGTAACTTGTACAAACAGCAGAATAGGTAAGGGGAAGAAAAAGTCTCTCTTCTCAGCCCTCTGATATTTGAGCCTGCCTAATCCTCTGCTTTTTGTCAGGTGCCAAAACCGTTGGCCAACCTTTAAGTTCACCCTGAAAGCCTTATTTAAGCTGGAGATTTTGGGAGAATTTCAGCTCAGATTGCTCAGCTGCTTCTGAGAATTATCTACGGGGAAACCAACCTAGGTTTTCCTGTGCCAGATGACACTTATGAAACATTTTTAAGCCTAAAAAGGCATTTTTCCAGATGCTGTGATGGGGTAAAAAGAAAGAGTCTATCAGATATCAGCTCGGAGGGTCAAAAGCCAGACATGAAGGAAGTATCAGAGTGGATGGCTAGGACTAGGTCTTGTTGGGATTTGTTTAGGTTTATTTGGGGATTTTTGTGAGTTTAATAGTATTTCTTTAAACTTTAATAGTGTTTTCTGATTAAAGCAATGGCCAAGAATTGGACATTCCAAGCAGCAGTATTTCTGTTTCAATGAATTTTTCTTGAATCATGATGACGTGCTCCAGCCACAGCACTCTACAGGACACTTAGGTTTTGGGAAGCAGCCAAGGATCTGGCCAAGCAGTTTCTAAGTGACTTTGTAAAGTTAAATATAACAATTTAATATCTTTTGAAATGAAGAGGCACTGTGCTTCCTCTAAGGCAGTCAGTTAGATGATGTTTCATTTCATTCTAAATCATCAGAACCAAGGTATTTGGACAGTTTGGGGCTTTGGTGCAAAACAGAGATGCCAAGTTTTGACACAGTGCTCATTCTCTTTCTATTGTGAGTAATTCTGTTTACATGTAACTTTTTTTAAAAACTACCTCTTTTTTGTCTTTTTTTTTTTTTTAAGAAGTAATATACAAGATTATCCTGTAGGCAGGGAAGTCCTATGGGCTGTATTATTTACAAAGACAGGCAATATGGTCACAGTTCTCTCTTTATGCCTTAACATTTCTGTTCCCTAAAATGCTTAAGCTGTCATCTTCCATTGCATGTATTCTGAGAAAACAGTGACCATGTAAATAAAAAGCAGCACTATGCAGCATATATTAATGGTGATTTATGCACCAGCTGGGATACTGTTGCAGCATTTGGTAAGTATTTATCTATATTGGGTTCAAGATAAAAAACCACTGTGCTGGACAGCCTGTAACTGAGAAGACACGGATTCTGATTAGGAACCAGCATGTCCTTACAAAAACTTGATGTCTCCAATGGGTTGGTCTGGTGCTTTCCATACAAAGGACAGGTTTCTCTTCAGTGACTTGTCTGAGTGTGTGACAGTGTCACCTTCTTCAAAACAGGTCAGCAGCTTGGAACCGGGAGGCAGGAAGATGAATGTGCCGGCGATTTCGTTGTTGGACACTTTGCGAGCTTGCAGCATAAAGCCCATGTAATCCCGGGTGCTTCTTACTGTCACTTTTGGAAGACAAAACACAGGACACAAAGGGATTTGTCTTGCTTTTATCTAGTGAATTGCCTGCAATGGATTTCCCAGAAAAAACCTTGGGCTACACTACTGAAAACCCCTTACTGTCTTTGTCCTCCTAGTCTGTCTTGAACATGTTAGATACAGAAGGCCAGACTTTTACCTTTGGTTTTCCAATGTGTAATTGCACACAGGATTTGCCTGCGACTTCCCCCCATCCTTCCTTGAAGATAAGCTGTTAACCACATTGGATCAGGCAGCATGCAGCCGTTTTTATGCAAGGAGGTTTGGACACCACTCTGTATGTACGCAAAAGCTCATGTTCTGCTCTCAGAGGGGTTTTGTTTTGCACAGGGATGAATGGGCAAGTGGCCAAGCTGGGGAATGGTGCCTCTCAGCTCTGTCTGCATCTGCCTGAGGAGCAGCAATGACGGGGATGTGAAATACTGCCAACCATGCCCAAGAGTCAGCTGAGTCACCCAGACCCCTTTGAGTGGTGCAGAGGGGCTGGGAAGGTGACTTTACCCACTGGAGGTGCCTCTCATGGGCCACTGCATGTAATGAGGTCTGTCGATATGGTTGAGACCCAGTTGAGATAAATGAATCCCACCCAAAGTACCCAATGCTGCAAACAGAATTCCTCTGTAAATATGTCCTTATGGCAAGAGAGGTGTTGTAGCTCACTCGGAGCAGTTATCTCTTCCCAGACCTTGCAGAGATTAATTCCATCACTTGAGATAAGTTACTGTGAATTTTTCAGATGCAGGAATGAGAAGCTGTTCCTTACCTGGCACCTTGTCTCCCGGGAAGAAGAAGGACATGTTGGTGTGGACAGTGACGTAGTTGCTGTTGGAGCTGTGCAGCTGCACCCTCAGGTGTCTGGGCATCATGTCGCTGCAGGCGGAAAGGCTCGCGCCCTGCGAGAAGGCGGCCGCGTAGGAGACCAAGCACAGGGTCGTGCAGGCCCAGCCAACAACAGCAGTGTGGGCTCTCCTGCCACCCTCCATCCTACAGCAGGAAACAACGTGGAGTTGTTCAAAGCTGTGGCTTCCCAAATGGTGCCATTGATTTATCTGATCTCCAGAGGCACCCTCCCCGCAGTCTTTAAACAAAAGAGAGTAAGTGATGTCTGTGGCACCCGGAGCTACTTTGGGAATCCACGGCATTTACATTCTGAAGTGAACTGTTCAGGCTGGGAGAGGGAAGAACCCCCCATAAGAGGATGTATTTCTTGTCAAGCTGCCCATGGAGGGTGCAGCCAGAAAAGATTTGCTCTAAAAAGTCTTGTGGGTTTTAAGAGGAGCAGGCTCTGTATAGCCACACTCAGTACCCTCCACCACTCCCAGCCCAAATGTACAGCCTGATCAATAGGGGAAACAGCTGCCCCTTGGACCTGCAGAGCTGCTGCAGGCCCCATCACATATGGGGCTAGTGCCCAGGGCAAAGCCTGTCCCTGCCTGCCATCATAGAGCCATGTCCCTGCAGTGACAGCAAAAAACACATTTCCAGATTGAACAGAGTATTGTGCCATTCTGCTTTTTCAAAATGTACTTTTCAAAGTGAAAATGAAGGGTGAGTGTGTGGCATTTATTGTAATGGATATCGCAAAGCAGGTGCTTCTGATTTTAATGCAGCGCTTTTTTCTTTTCAACATGCCTGCCTTAGATGTCATTACACTTAGAAAATGAGTAAATGTAAATAAATCAGAGGCAACAGAGGCTGAGGAAGTCTAGCTTACACCTCCCTCTCAAGCACTTCTGAAACTTGCCAGCTGACTAATGAAGCACCACTGCAAGCAGAACAATTCATGCCCAGACTAAAGCAGCAAGCAGATGGATGCAGTTTAATCTCCCGCAGCCAAGCATCCTGCCACTCCAACCAGTTGTGTGCGAGAAGATGCTCGTGAGAATCACAGGAGCCGTTGCTGACTCTTCCAGCCCTGCTGGACCAGTAGCAGGATGTCTCCTCGTCATGGAGCCAGCCTCCCTTCTGGGCACACCTAAACAGTCCTTGCTGGGTAAGATTTCTCGCCGGAGCTCATGGAAGTAGCCCCGAGCAGCAGCTCTTTCCCTTGGGTGCTGCCCCGGCTGTGCTGTTTCCCATCCCGCCCTCCTGTGCCCATCCCCGCGGGGAGCAGCGCTGCTGCCCGGGGCTGCCCGGGCTCAGGCTGCCGATGCCGCCGGCGCTTACCTTGGGACACGTTCGCTGCCGGGCTCGCTGCCACCACTGCCCTGCCAGCCTGCGGAGACCCATCCTTTCAGGGACCTCCTCGCCTGCTCCTCTAATGGGAAGCGCAGCAGCTGTTACTGCTAATACCCACCACCCACGGCAGCTCTCTGCCAGTGCCCAAATCCTGCTTTAATCATACTCGGTATTTTCTTCACATCCTACCCCGTGTTTGTTTGGGGGTTTTTTTGTTTGTTTGTTTGTTTTGTTTTGTTTTGTTTTGGTTTGGTTTTTATGTGTGTGTGTTTGTTTTGTTTTTGTAGGTTGGGGTTTTTTTGTTGGGTTGTTTTTTTTTTTTTGTGTGTGTGTGTGTGCGTGTGTGTGTTAAATCTCCAAGTTTCTTCAATGAAAACAAAGGCAAGTAGTGCGGAAGGAAAGGGGACACCCACAGCAAATCATGAGGTTTGTGTAGGATACACTGAAACTCCTTTGCAGAAGTGCAGGATGATGGGACTTTCTCCTCTCTTACCTTCCCCACACACACATCCCTTCTTCCATACTGAAGCAAAGCAAAGCAAAGCCTTATCAACTCCCCAGCTCCCTCCATGTGCCCCCAGCAGTGTGCCCTGTCTCTCATGCTTACATGTGATTAATTTTGGCAGTAAAAGCAGAATTTTGCTATAAAGGCTGGGAAGGTTCATCCCATGTGCCAGCCTTGCCAGAAAGAGTCATCAACACCCCACAAATCCCCCTAAGCTGGCACAGGGGACCAAACATGTGCTAAGTATGACTGTCCCCTGGCACATGAGCTGTATTCATGACCAGGCTGTCAGCCCTACTCCTTGCCTGAGCTTTGCTGCAGCTGTGCTGGCAGTCGGTGGCAGAGCTGATCCTGTCCCCTGTCACTGCAGACTGCTCTGGTGATCAGGGCTCTCTGATGATCCTGCCCACTGCCACCAGGCTCACCCTGCCAATGGCTCATTTCTGCCGGTCGTGCCTTATCTGCGATCCTGCTTGGGATCTGACCACTGTGTGAGTCTGTCCAGAGGGGGCATCCTGGTGACTTCTGCCTATGGCAAGCCCCAGAAACTGGGGACAAGTTTGCAGATGCTTCACTTATTAATGTTGTTCCCATCAGCCTGCCTCCTCTACAGCCTGTCTTTTGGAAGAGACACAAAATGCCAGGCTGGCACAGAGGTTCTGCTGCTGACTGACATCCCAGGTCTCAGCGGTTAAACGGGTTGGAAAGTATGGAAACTGGTGGTACTGGGCTCTCATCAGCCTGCTCTTCTCTGCATTTGAAAGACGCCTTGAAATCACTGAATATCAAGATATAATGTAAGTCTTGTAGTTTTCTTTACTCAGGGGAAGCAGAGCATAGTTCAGGGGGAGAGAGGATAAGTTTGCATTCTTGATTCTGTTCCAGCTTGTAATTGCCCATCCTTCATGCACAAGTGAATAAATTTATGCTGTATTGATGATGAATCCTTTCCTGAAACCAGCTAGTCCCTTATGTTTTTTTCTTCCTAACTTATTCCTAAAATCAGTGAGGAAAATTTCTCCACTGACTCCCACCTGGGAGGGAAAAGTGAGGGGAAAAGAGGGAAAAGTGGCCAAGGGCAGAATCTGAAACAGCAGTGTTTGGTGTTCCCTGGAGCACAATGCAAAGCTATGGAGAGAAGAGGCTCAAACAGATCCAACCCATGTGTAACAGCAGAGGACGTAGGGCTGGACTGAACTGTCCATGCTGACTCTCAAGGCTGCAGCAGCCTCTGGCAGGGCACGCTGCTGTTCACAGGTTCAGCAGCACCAGTCAGATGGCACTGCCTGGACAGTGTTAATTGCTGGGCTGATCTGAAATACGGCATTACACAGCATTCATCCTCACTGCCTGCTCTCAAACACAGGAACTCTGTGGCTTCAAAGCCACAGTCAAAGCAAATGTCACAACCATCTCCTCCTCAGAGATGGAAAAAGCCTGTCACAGTCATTACCCTGACACAAGCACCTACCAGCAGCTTCGAACTGCTCATTCAAATGCCAAGTGACAGGCAGATGTTTCCAGTAAGAAATACAGCCCTCTCTGAGCCTTTGGTTGCATCACCCACCAGGACAGCATTGCCTCAGCCTTCTCTGGCTGGGGCTGTGACCTGCTGGAGTCGCTTGAGCTCAGTCAGGCTCAGCTCTGACCATGGGGCCCAGACAAGACCGTGTGGCACTGCTGGAACTGGAGAGAGGTTTGATTTTTCTTGTCATAGACGTCTTCGTTAGGAGGAAGCTGTCAGGAGAAGGGGACATAAGACAACTTACACCCTGCCTATTGTTTTCCCAGGAGTGTTCATGTGGTGGATTTCTAGAAGAAAAGAAACCTCACAGACCACAGCTGGGAATTTGAAATAACACTAGGACAACTGTGCATACTCTGTAGTGACTTGATAATTAAGATAGCGTATAAACCATATAACTTGAAATGCCACTGATGAGTGCACAGAAGGATTATAAACCCCATAACATCACAGGTTCTGTGGTGCAGAAACTTTGTCCTTCTTGCAGGCTGTTTCTACATCTCCACATCACCAGGGCACAACAGGGCCAGCAGAGGTGGAGCAGGTGCAGTGGAGATCAGTATGTAATATGGGCATGGACATAAGAAACTCAGAGCTGACACTCCAGAGCAAGCTGGTTGCTTCATTGACAGGTAGGGAAATACTTTGCTGCTGCAAGGTAATAAGGGTTTTAATGAGTTTGAAGTTCCTCCTGGTCAGCTGGCAGCCACCTGAATCCTGTGAGCAAAGCTTGAGGGGGCTTAGGGAAGAGTGGACAGGTTGATCAAGTAGAGAGCTTGAAGGGACTAACAGTTGAGTTCAGATCACAAGGAACTGATCATTAAACTAGCGAAGCTGGCAGCACCACCTTATTAAGAATATTTCAAGTCATCTTTAAAACAAAGAGTAGTGTCCAGCTGTGAGATGAGTGGTTAGAAACCCATGGTAGTCCCAGAGGGAGAACAGAGAACTATCTCCAAACTAGCATTTCATGGGCTGACCTATGCATATCTGTGCCTCTGTGTTTGGGGAGACTAGGATGTTTTTCTGATATTAGTTAAGCAAAACTAGGGTTGGCAGAAGTACTGGCAGGTCCTCCCCCTTTTATCCAGTTGGCTCTTCTTGCTGTTCTTCTGTCACTTACTGAAGTGTGACAGTGACTAAAATGTCACTGCTAGGAACAAACTGGCACATATGCATGCAACATACATTGTGAGCCTCTTTCCCTTACAAATTCAAACCAAAATAACCCTTTATGTGGTAACTACTGCAGAACAGCTGCAACCTGGGCAGCTGTTCTGCTCTAGAGGAGGGTTTGAGGGGAGGGAAGAGAGAGAAAGAGAGGCAAGGCCTAGCAATAAATAGCTTAATGATTGCTTTAATAAGACTAAGATAAGGAATACAGACAGCAGGTAAAATGAACATGCCCTCAGATGCTGGGCTCCTCACAAGCACATAGCATCAGAGCCCACATGGATTTTCCCACAGTGTGCTGCACAGAGCAGATGCAAACCATCCACGGAGAGCTGCTCTCCCTTTTCACCACTTGAGCTATTTTATAATTTCCATACACAAAAGCAACCCTCTGTTCTAAAGGATGATCTCTTGTTGCTCCTCTGTTAGATAAAAGCAAGGCCAGGCAGGTGGTGTGATCAAGGCACTGAGTGGGAGCTGCCCGTGAGCTCCGTGAGGGTGACCTGGCAGAAGGATCCTATGGCTAAGCGTCCTTTGCTCAGGGTCACTACAGCAGCCCAGGAAATGCCCCCTCCCATCTGATTTCAAACCTTGGAGAACAGTTAGGCACAGGAATGCCAGAGTTTGAAACTGCTGACTCCAAAGCTTGCTTGTTTTCAAAACCAACGCAGGGCTGGAGCTGGCCACGGGTGTGAGTTGGGATATGAAAGATCAGGCATTGCTCTGGCAACATCAGTCACACATTGCAAAGCTGTCACTTTGCAAACAACACTTCCATGCTTTCTTATCTCCCAGGAACAACACAGCTGTGGGGCACAGCTGGTTTTTGGAGCTGTGAAAAAGCCTGAGGAACTAATGGTCACGTCATATCCAGAAGGGCTCTCAGTAGCTGTTTTTTCATCATAACATCACAAAAAAGAACTCAAATGATGTTCAGTATAGTTTGCATTAGATTCCCTTTGAGCTAGGAACCAGGTGGAAACAAATTGTAAAAGTGAGTGGTCATCAGGGTAACACCTTTAAAACAAAACCTTCCTAGCAACCTTCCTAGTTGCCCTTTATGTAGGGCAACTACAGGGCACTGCAGGCTTTAGTAGAGACCTGGCTTGCCTCCTTCTCCTTCCAGGCTTTCTCTAGTTTCCTCAGCCAGGCTTTTGTTTTAGGAGATGTGGCTCAGTTTGGCTTTCCCAAACTTTCTTGTGCAAGAAGCTTGTGCTGGATGTGGGCATATAGCAAATTTACAGATCCTGCTCTTCATGGAGAGTCTATGAACTGAATGTGTCGCTGAGGGTGGGGTAGTGGTTGAATGGCCATGGTTTCACAGTCTGATCTCATTGCATAAAAGTACTGGCTATCAACATGAGTGCAGCTTCAGTCTTTGAAATGCAGTAATTTTGTTAGTTTTGGATTACTTAATTTTGGGATCATTCTTCTAAGTAAAGTGGTGGACAAGTGCTTGGAGGTTGTTCAAAGTATTAATGTTTCATGGTCAGTTCTGATCTCAATGAGCTTGATCCCCAAGTGAAACTGTTTTATACACAGGTATTGGGGCAAGAGCATCAGGATATGGTAAATGATGTCACATGGAGAATTTTCAAAATAAACTGGAAGTCAGTGATTGTAGGAAGTAAAGGCTTAATTTCTTTTGCAATTTTTGAAGTTTAAATATGAATTACAACAGCTGACCTTCAATGCAAATCTTCCTGTCTACCTCACATAGTAATAATGACTTTGTGACCTAGAATACATTAAAAAACCCCTTGGCATGTAAACTATATATTTATATTTATATAGAGTTTAGTATGTGATTAGACCACCAGAAGTACCAGATAACAATTGAAAAATGTTCTATAACTAGACTTGTAGAAACTGAATCACAGTTAAAAAGTTAACAATGCAAACCCTTGACATTAAATCAAAGTCTGCAAAATGTGTTGCTATACATTGGTAGGTGTGTGGAGGGAGAGAAAAAGATGGAGAGAGAAAAAAATTAATCCTGTATTAAAACAAAAAAACAAACAATAAAATTTAGACAGTCTCCAGGACTGAAAGCAGACAGTTACCTGCTAGCTACATATAGATGACAAGGCAAATGAAAAATTGCTTGCCTCACTTGGAGGTACATTTTTAAAAAAAAAGTCACTTACAGAAGAGCAAGTTGGTTGTTTGTCTTTCATCCTGGACCTTTTTCAACCCTTGTCAGAAAATGCTAAGTTACTGAAGTATATTGTACAGTAGCAACTCTATTTGTGTGTTCTGTCATGTCTTCTGAAGTGCTTAATGTGGAAAGGTTAACTACTGACTGCAAAATAATTTAGAATTATTTATTCATCTTAAAAAAAACCTAAAATTTAAATTTGCAGTTCACATTCTCTCCCTTTGATAATTGGAATGTGACTATTCCCTGCTTGCATCAGACTGGTACTTGGGAAGAATGGAACAATGCTATATTGACACAGTTGTCTTGTGTTAATCCATCCACAACTAGAAATATTTTTGTTCCTGGAGGCATTATAAACTGTCCAAGGAATAAAGCCAGGCTTCAGAAAGCTCATGTAAAAAATTGGCTCAATAACCTCACCATGAGGTACATTATCCTAACTTATAACTTCATCATGAAGAAGAAGAAAGCATTCTGAGTGTGTGATGTTAAGTGCAGGATCACTCAGGTAAAGGAGTATCTGAATTTTCAGAGTTGGTTTAGGTTTCTTCTTGGCTGACTGCATGTAAAAGGAGAAGTAAGTATCCATGTAAAATTAAGCTGCTTTTATTCACTGTGCTTTGATTCTCTGGGAGTACTGCTGCAAAATAAACACAAACAAGTTCCCTCTCTGCTGTCAGCTCAGAGGTTCCCCCTCCCTCCCTTAATGCACACCCCATACTCTAATGCACTCCTTATTTCTGGCTAGACAGATGGAATATAGAGATGGTACCAGGTTGAGGGGGGAGTGGATGGGAGAAAGAAGAAACTGGCTGGAGAGGACTCTTGTGGCATGTTTATAAAAGCTTTCAGATTCCTAGTGTATTTTCAGAAGTAGATTTAGGTATTAGTTATAATTGCTTTATACTGAAGAAGTCCATTGTGTTTGGTAGAGAAGCACAAGTAAAAGGTCACCCCAAGCAGAGGAAGGGTGGGGGGTACACAGGCAGGAGGTGAAGTAGCTACTAGGCTGTACTGACATACCAACTGAGAGCTCTTCACCTCGGACTGACTTCCTCAGCTGGCACAGAGCTTTCTTTTCACCCTTAAGGCTTTTCTTCCATTTGATTCAATTCTTTCCCCACCCCTAACTGTTGAAGTGTCACTGTTACATTCCTTGATTCAATCCACAATTCAAGATTTTTTGGACAGCTGAACTTTGTAGCTGATGACTCTTACTAGTCTGGCATTTAAAGCTGACCCCATGTTTTCCAAAAGGGACAGGTCACTGTCACCAAACCATTAGCATTTCCTGTCCCACCATCAGTTAAACCACTGTTTTGCCATCAATACAGGCCTCTGATTTACAATTACTCCATGCCTGCTTACCTTCCAGTCAGTATTTTTGTAACTGTTAGCATAATTAAATGAGCTGTTGCTTCAAATTAGTCTTGCAGCACTATTACATGCTCCTCTTTTATTCCTTTTCTGTACAAGGGAACAAAGCAATGCTTTGAAACAAAAGCATTGAGGCAGTTTACACTCATGTTTACATTTATTAAAAAAAATACTTATACACTTGTGTATTTCACCTGTGGATTTTGAACTACAAATCAAGTAGGGCTCATCACTTCAAAGAGGTTCACAAGTACAAAAAAACAGCCTCCTTCTGGCATCTTCACATCCTCCTCTTCTGGGTGCTTATGTACAACACTGTGAAAAAGAGAAAGTGGCACACAGAGGAGGGCCCTGGTAAATAACAAGCATAAGCCTTTTTATTTAAAACATCTTATTTCCATGGCATATAAATTGACACTGTAAGAGATCCCATTCAGCATGAACAAAGCCAGGCCACCTTTAACTCCAGGTTTCAAAAAATGCCAGTAGCTCTAAACATTATGTATTACTTTGGTTCAGTATTTATTTTATTCATAGCCCAACTATGCTCCAGCAGATGTAGGCTGAACAGAGCAGGACCAAAGGCAGTGCCCTGCAGTGTTACTGAGGAGAGCGTGAGAGTTCCTCAGCAGCAGAATTACAGATGTCAGACACTAATGCTGGGATCTTTCAATAAAAGCTGGAAATCCCAAGCACTTAAGGCAAAACGAATGATTAGTTATAAAGGAAGAGACATCTTCCTCCTGCTTGGCTGATGGCATCCCCAAAACAGATCCAGTCACAACATAAAATGATATTGTGTCCTCCTAAACCTGCCACATGTCTTCAGTTCTCTGTTCAGCCTGTTCTTGAGCCTTCTGCCTCTCATCCACTTGTTTTAACTTTCATAATAGATTATTTCCTTAATTGATTCTCTAGCTGAAATGTCACTCCAGTTCTTAGCATAATAGTCCAAATGCCTTGCCAAAAACAAGGGCTGGAGGATTATTTTTCCACCCAAAATGCTCTTTTACACTGGTACCACATTCTCTTTGACTCTTTTTCTAACATGGGATTCAGCCCTTGTGTCTTTTGATTCCATCCCTTCTTGCTGAGCTCCATTTTCTTCACAAGCAACTTGGTCAAACTCTGTTTCATTTACCTCATCTACAAGTCTCTTCATCTCCAACTTGTGAACCTTTTCTATTTTTAGATACTCTCCTTCCTGGCATGTCCTGCTATTACAACCTGATACCAGAGAGTCATTTCAGGAGCCTGGGATTGTTCTTGAAGTGCACTAGAATCCACCTACTGCACTTGGATATCCAAAGGCTCCATACTAGAACATGAGTGATTTTTTTGACTGGTGGTAAAATCTTTACTCAAAAGATTAAAATAGCCTCCAGGACTAAGGATAAGCATTCATTCAGTCCTGGAAAACTGCTTCACCAGAAAATATTTGTGTCACTATAATATCTGCATTGTAGCATGAACTTATGCAGTAGCTTGCCTACATACCACAAACTCTTATGGTGCAGAGGTCATCTAAGCAAGGAGTAAGTGCAAGAGAGTAAGGAAGTCACAGAGTAGAAAATAAGCTCCAAGAAAGCTAGAAAAGAGCATGCTGCTCTAAATTAACTTCAAGTTCAGAAGAAAAAACAACCACAGGAATGCAGAAAAGCAGAGACCCTGGAAAGTGAAACTGTAAAATGCAAATATTGTAAAGATTTCGAAGAAAGAATATTAGTTTAGGCTTACAGGCAGCTTACTTACACCTCAGCCATCCCTCAAATTCAGAATATCATAACACAATTTCTAACGTGTAGTAACAGGAGTAGGAATTACCATTATTTCCTCGGATAAATGCATCCCCGTACTTGTTCTTTAACTGTCCATTTACATATTCCTCAGTCTGCTCCAGAGCTATGTTCATATATCCATCCAGGCAAGCCAGGACACCTGAAAAGAGTGGCAGTTTAAGAGAGAATCAGCTTGAACTTATTTTAAGATAAACAAAAATGCTTTGTGTTTGAATAGTACAGGATAAAAGCCTACCCTGTATCCTTATAACAAACTAAAAACCCAAGCATGGAGAGATGTCTTCAAAGAATTCAGCTGGGAGAAAGGAATCCCATTATCTCCAGTAGCAAAGTTATCAGTTGGTGTAAGAGTTGTGGGAGTAAAGAAGTTATTAAGGCATTATTTCAAAATATGGACAATTTCCATTTTGAAAGTTTAAGCTGTCCTTTCTCACTTGTGTTTTAAGCACAAACCAAAAAAAAAACACCTGTGGCATTAAGTGTAACAGGATAACCTAAGGACAAAGCTATGTAAACTGGTTGTCAGCAAAACTTGTGAAGGATATAGCTGAAAAACAACCCTTTTAATACAGGACAGCAGACACATATTTGTCTTCATGCTTACAGAGCTAGGAGAACACTGTCTGCAAGTCTGTTTTGATGTCAACAAAACTCTACACATTTTTCAACAAAGGCCACTGAAATATTCAAAATAAATTACTCTGTTTTGATAATGCAATTATAGGAAAAAATATGTCATTTGTAATATTAGACAATTTTCTGGATCAGGAATATATGCATTTTAGGAGGACAGAGGTAATACAGCTTTTTACAAGTTGTTTCATCTTCCTCTTGCATGTGGGTTTTTCTGTCTTTATCCTTGCACAGGATAAATAACTTTTTACTTAAATAACTTTTTCCTCTGTTTGAAAAACACCTAGCTATTTACCTGGCAGTAAGACATGAAATATAGTGTATTAGCTGTACTTAAGAAGAGGGAGAAAACTCAGGACATATTCTAATTTTTCAGAAGTGTTACTGCAGGATCGTCTAGTTAATAATCAGGAATTCAACTTCTTTACCAACTTGTCATGGCTTAAAGGTTATTATTTTCCTTTCTGTTTTTCTCTCCTCTGTTTCCAGAGACAGGAAAAACTGCTCACAAAGTGCCACTAAATGCAGCAAGAAGACCAAAACCAAAGTCAGGATTCTTTTCCACTCCAGTAATCCTAAGGGATCCACACAGCACAGAAAACAAAAATATGTTTGTACAAAATTAAAACTGGACCATGTGGATTTACCTGAGCTACATACAACTTAGTAGGCCATAAATGCAGTATTTTCAAACTCTTTGCTTCGAGAGTGCATTCATGGTTGTTTCATTCTCTTCCTCCTTTTCTTTTTGTTTACTCTTACATCACTAATGGCATCAAATATTATCACTGCCCATCCTGGCTAGCAATTTATCTCTTTCATCTGTATGTAGAGATGTTTTAATGTACATATCCATATTGACACACAGAAACCATACATTAATATACCCCTGATCGCTTCTCAGGGCTTCCTGTCTTGGACATTTGCAGCACCTGGCAATGGCTGAAGACAGTTCAGTTACACATCAACACTTGCATGAGGTGTGTGTGTGTGGGGCCTCCGAGGGTGGAGGCAACAAAAGCATCAGCAACACAGTCTGGGGAAGAATCTGGACAGATCTGCAACAACAGCCCGAGATGCTGTTTTGTAAATATTTGGCTTTTACAAATGCTGGTCACATTTCTCCAGAAAACAAACTAAGTGCATATTTTTCAGATGAAAACACTACACAGATTTTCTGTCACAAGATCAAAGGAGTGCAGGGAAAGAAGGAAGGGAAGGACGGGAAAAATCCAGTAACAAATAAGGGTGTTCAAGGAACTCTTATTCAATTAATGTGGTGTGGTGTCACACAGTAGGCACATTAAACTAGCTTTGCTGAGGGGTAAGTTGGGTCGTTAATCTACAGCATTTACAAAAGGATCTTGCCAAGGGAGAGGTAGCAATGGTCTCAATGAAAATAGGAAGTGCAGCAAAACCCAAATCTGGTTTGGCCTTGCCTTCTGTGTACCCTCAGGTAAATGAGGACTTGCTTTAATTGACTTTAATGAGCTCTCTCTACATTCTCCTGCACTAAAGAATTTACAGAGAGGCAGCAAACTTCTTAAGCCCTCAAACCCACCTGAAGTACTCAGACAATGTGGTTCTCAAAAAAATGAGAGACTGAAAATTTTGCCAGCTGATTGACACCGCAGAGAAACAGGAAGGAGTAAGATGCCACTGCTTGCTCAGTCAATGAACAGTAACAATTTAATATTGTCCTAGCACAAAGATTCCTCGTCAGAGCACGAACAAGTCTCTTCACACAAGTGCCAATGTAAGCCACTTGAGGTAAACCTCTCTGAAGAAGGGGTCTTTTGCAGAACCATAAAGTTTAAGTCATTACAGAATAAAATTTCTTAACTGAGCACAGCAGAAGATACATGATTAGGTCTGACTGAGTTCGGATACTGCTAAAAAAATTGGTCAGAGTGATCCCGTTATCTTAATGGGAGCAGGACCAGAACATTTCATTGCACAGAGTTTTAATTTACTGGTTAAAAAAAAATTCTATAATTCTATATACATGAAGGTATACTGATAGATTGAAGAAATCAGGAATAAAACTGATGGGCTGTGTTAAAATGAAGCTTGCAAAAACTACACTAAACCTTTTCCTGTATCTCTGTGAGCCTTGGTCCAGCACAGGTCCAGGCAGTTGTTTAACCAAGAATGTCAATAATGCTTTCATCCCTCATGTAAGAATTCTGTTGTGACTGACAGCATGGTTTACTCTGAAGTTTTCCTGGATCAAGATCTGTATTAACTAAATAGAGAAAAAAAAAGTTGAAGAAAAGCCTAGTACATAGTTCCAACAAGGAGTGTTCCTGGCCATTTCAGGAGTTGTAATTCCAGACAATCTTTCCAAGTATCAGCTTAGAAACTCAAAATCATCCAGTTTACCCACCTGTGACCAATGACACTAATAACTTAGATCAGTAATTTTAACCTCTAAATCCACTGTTGTTACCCCCTCTTTTTAACACTTTCTCCGGAGTTGTTTTTCTATTTTGCCATCACCATTCTGAGATATCTATCCTCATACTCCATGATTCTGGATCACACTGCCTTTCTTTTCCAAATCAATGCATCTATTCCAGCCTCCTCAATGAACTACTTTACTCACTGTGAGAGACAGATAGAGAACTTACCTCGATAATCAACTCCAGAATTTAATTTTACAACAACTGGCCTTCCAATGATTTGTTTTAGGAAGTCACTGGGGGTTTGCTTCCGTAGACTCATCGTGATCTTCTCTGGTAAGCTAAGAAGTGAAAACATTAGGATAAGAGACATGCCTCCACATTGTTTTAAATACTCTGTACAGACAAGCAGACCCCTGATTTGTAATACTTTCCATAAGAGAAAGAGATTAAAGCAAAACTCTAAAGGTTGAGGTGGGGAGACAGAGCTCCTAAAGCCATTGCATTCCACTTTCCCTTCGGCATTTTTACTCCTTCTGAAAGCATTACTAAGAATCTTTGTTTGCCACACTGTGCAGCTTTTAAATTTCAACAGTGCCAAAGGCCAGAGACAGAAAACCCGCACGGTGCCGGCTTCATTTCGCTGCTTCCTGGGGCAAATCCAGCCGTGAACCCGGGGATCCAGTTTCCCTACCGACACCCACCGCCACCAGCGATGCTGGCGCCCAGGGCTGCGCCCCCTTCCCGGACCGCACACGCGTCTGGAGCCGCTGCCCCCGGGTGGAACCCTCGCGTTCCAGCCCGGCCGGAGAGCGCGGCTCCACGGCAAGCCAGCCCGGGGGCGCAGGCGGCCCGTGACAAACCAGCCCGGGAGCGCAGGCGGCCCGTGACAAGCCAGCCCGGAGCACACGCACGGCCCCGGCCGGGCCCGCACTCACCGCCGCCACCGCCGCCACCGCCTCTCCCGGCGCTTCCCGCGCCCCGCCCCGCCCCGCTACGGCGGCCGGGCGGGACGGCCCGCGCGGGTCGAAGGCGGGACGGCTCGCGCGGGTCGAAGGCGGGACGGCTCGCGCGGGTCGAAGGCGGGACAGATCGCGCGGGAGGCGGGACAGCCCGCGCGGGTCGAAGGCGGGACAGATCGCGCGGGTCGAAGGCGGGACAGATCGCGCGGGTCGAAGGCGGGACGGCCCGCGCGGGTCGAAGGCGGGACAGATCGCGCGGGTCGAAGGCGGGACGGCTCGCGCGGGTCGAAGGCGGCCCGGGGCGGGCGCGCCCTCAGGGGTCTGGCCCCACCCCGCGGTCTGGCGGGGGGAGTCCCGGCCCCTTCACGGCGGTGAGGGGTTTTTATGGCTTGATTGGGATTCCGCGCGAAATAACACCCCATCGGAGAGAAATCTTGCAGTGTGGAAGGTTTACAGGGTGTCTTGTGGGGAAAAGCCCCGCAGGATCAGTGAAGTTGGGAAAGGCCTCAGAGACCAGCGAGTCCAAGCGTTGCCCAGCTGAGGGCTGCTTCCAGGCTTTGCTTTCCAGTCTCCTCCAGGAATGGTGACCCCACCATCTCCCTGAGCAGCCCATTCCAATGTCGAATCACCCCTTCCATGAAGGAATTCTTCCTGATATCCAATACGGTACTCATTATTATATTCTATTCTAATGAGACCCTGCTAATTCTCAAATGATCTTGTCCTTATCAGAGACATAGTGAGCACCTCACAGGGATCTGTCCAGGACCAGCCAGGGAAGTGCTGAAGGTCATTTCACAGAGGAATCAGTGAACACAGATAAGTTTTGGGGTTTTTTTTAAGTCACCTGGGAATAACTTGGCATACGAAGAAACTGAACTCACCTTCTACTCTTCTGCTTCTCCCCATCATCTCACTTGTTTTTCCTCCTTTCTCGCAG